AGTGACAAGAGCTAAACAAAAAAAAGTCTCCACGAGTAAGAAAAAGACCAGACCAATACAGTGAGTAATAAACTATACAAAGAGCAGTAACGCCACAATTGAGTGTCTGTCTACTGGTACCAACTCTATGCTAGATGCTAGGGACACAGTGAATGTGATATGGTCACATTATTCAAGCTTATCAGATGGAGAAGCAAACATCAGTTTAAGATGAGAAGGCAGTATCCAAATGTTACCATTACTCAAGAATATTCAACAGTTAGAACATAATCGTCCCTATAGAAAATAAGTTACAGAGCAGCACTATCCACTAGAGCAGTGGTTCTCAACCTTCCTGACACCGCAACCCTTTAATACAGTTCCTTACGTTGTCACAAGGAAAATAATTTTATGGTTGGGGGTCACACAACATGAGGAACTGTACTGAAGAGTTTCAGCATTAGGAAGGTTAAGAACCACAGCATTAGGAAGGTTAAGAACCACTGCACTAGAACATTTCAAGATGGAAATACTCTATATCTGTGCTATCAAAGTCACAAGGAGCCACTGAGCACTAAAAATATGGCTAAAGAACTGAATTAATTTTACTTATTTTCAATGAACTTACATTTAACTGGCCGCATTTGGCTGGCGGCTACTTGCTGAACAGCACAAGTAGAGTATGAGAACCCGTCTCCCTCAGCTCTACACTTCATTTGGAGGGTCTGGGGAGGACTTGGAGATACTTAATAAGGGTAACTATAGGGTTAGAAAATAAAACCTCCAGGTAAAGACCAAAACCAAAATTTTAATGTATTTAGATCTCACTTTGTTCCAGAAAGAATTTAACATGGACCTACAAAGACACACAGCAAGATAAATCATGCTAAACAAACGTGAAATATGCAGACATCCATCTCAAACAAAAGGTATAAGACGAATGTAAAATAGGTGAGAAAAAACCTTTCACAGAGAACTGAGGAGTACCTTAGTACTGACGTTTTATGACCAGAAGCAATTGTTTAAAGAATTTTTGTGACTAAGAGACTGTTCAAGTGGTTTACAGAATGTTTAATACAGAGCACAGAGGGTGCAGACCAGTGTATTAATGATTTATTGCTATATAGCAAATTACCTCAAATTTCAGCATTTAAAATAATATGGGCAGTGCCTGTGGCTCAGGAAGCCCGGTGCCACCCCCATATACCGAGGGTGGTGAGTTCAAACCCGGCCCCGGCCACACTGCAACAAGAAAACAGCCAGGTGTTGCAGCAGACGCCTGTAGTCCCAGCTACTCCAGAGGCTGAGGCAAGAGAATCACCTAAGCTCAAGAGGTGGAGGTTGCTGTGAGCTGTGGCCATAGTACTCTACCAATGGTGACAAAGTGAGACTCTGTCTCTTAAAAAAAACAAAAAATAATAATATTTATGATCTCACACAGGTCTGAAGGTGAGAAATCTGGGAGTGGCTCAGGGTCTCATGAAGTTGCACAAATGGCTGAGTTTGCACACACTGGAACTCAGACAATCTGCTTCCAAGTTGGTTCATCACACGTGCCTGTTGGCAGGAGGCTTCAGGTCCTCGTCACACAGCTCTGCATGAGAATGCTTGAGTGTCCTCATGACCTGGCAGTTGGCTTTGTCAGAACGAATGAGCCAGGACAGTACAAAGTCCTAATCTGAAAAGTCACACACTGTCACTTCTGCCATATTCTCGTCTTCAGAAATAAGTCATTAGCTCAGCCCCTATTCATGGGGAAAAGAACTAACCTCATCCTGAAGGACACAGTATCAGAGAATTTGTGGGCATACCTAAAATCGCTACAATGGGATGTAATATAATGTCCTCTCACCTGGGAGTTGCTAAAAATTGTAATGAAACCCTGGGGTCCCCATCTCTAGAAACCCCCAAATTAGAATAAATCATAGTCTTCTTGAAATAGCTTCAAATCGTCTATAGTCTTCACATTCTGGGAGGCCAAGGCAGATGGATTGCTTGAGCTCAGGTATTCGAGATCAGCCTGGGTAAGAGTGAAACTCCCATCTCTACTAAAAATAGAAAAACTAGCCAGGTGTTGTGGCAGGCACATGCAGTCCAAGGAGATCCGCCCCCAGGACCACCCCATCAGCAGAGTGGACATACTGCCCCAACCCCTGGCCACCCCTGAGCCCTTCTGTGGGGAGGCAAGGGGATCACTTGAGCCCAAGAATTTGAGGTTGCTGTGAGCCAAGATCCCACAGCACTCTACCCAGGGAGGGAGTGAGACACTGTCTCAAAAAAAAACAAAGAAAGAAAGAAGTTCAAATGTTTTCCATCCGGCAGGAGATTAAACATAAACAAGCTCTCAGGCATTTACAGCAGGTCCTATATATATGGCATCTACACTGCATAAACCAGTGTGCTGTAAATACAAAATTACAGAACCTCACAGTAATCCTGCAAATCATTCCACTTTCAAGATGAGAGACAAGAAGTCTAGAGAGACTAAGCCAGGATTCACACCCAGTCTCCAGGTCCCTTTCCACTGCATGACGTTCCTATCACCAAGTACTCAGGCTGCCCCAGGAAGAAGTTTGTTTTGCAGCATCAAAGATCTCAGGAGGACTACAAAATAGATTACTTGTAAAATCCTTCTTATCTTTTAGTGGAATGTTCCGCTTTCCTCACTATTTTTGCTTTAGTTTTTCTAGTAAATATTTGCTACTCTGAAGATTCATTTTGCTTTGCCTTACGTCTCATCCATCTCCTAGCTGCTAGGACCTAGCACCTCAGCCTATCCTGCCCCAATCCGTCCACATTCCCTTTCACACTAGACAACAGCACCAGGCCTTCTTTTAAAAGGAGACAGTGCCCCACCTCCTAGGACAAACACTGGATTCCTGAGTGTCAGATCCGGAGGGATCTTCTCAACAGACAGAGATGGGACCAAACCTCACAAGACTTCTCATGATTTGCCCAATGACACAGAAAAGCATTGACAGGACCAAGACCAGAGGCCTGTCCATATAAACCCTCACTGAGCACACTCTATACCAGCACACAACCTGTGCCTCTCCATGCCAGGACCTGCCCATCAGTTCACCTTTCCTGGTCTCCAGACTTTGTCTAGAACAAGGACACTTCTCCAAAAGAACTCAGACCAAATCCAGGAAGCATCCTTATATCCTCATTCTTCCCCCAACAATCCAATTGGTCAACTTCATAAACATCTGTTTAATTCTGTTTATCCCCACAGACAATATCCTAATTCAAGCACTTTCATCTTTCATGTGAGCTTCTGCAACAGCTCCTTAAGTCTCCTGCCTCTGGCTTCATCCTCTCATTTATTCCTTTCTATGGCAGCCAGACAGATCTTTCTAATGCAGATCTTTTCATGCAACTCCCTTAATAAAAACCTTCAATGGCTCCCCATAAATCCTCTCAAGATCAAGCAAAGAAGGGCCTTGTAAACTAGCTCAGGGTCTTGGATGTTTTCCTACAGATTAATCAGAAAGGTACCAGAAACTTTACCTATGTTATTTCATTTAAACCTATCAGTCGCTCTGCAAAATAGGCATATAGCCCCTTCGCAGATGGGATTCTTTCTAGTTAGTCTTCTCTTCTGAAACTCAAGCACCTGAAGTAATCTCAAAGCCTTTCCTGGCTCACCAATCCACCCAACAGATCCATGTGCTCCCTCTGTTCCAACCCCCTCTCGCTATACCTCCACTGATTACTTGTTTCCATAGCAAATTCCCTCATGCCTAATAAAAAGGATCATGTGGCTCACCTTTGTGCCCTCAGCCCCTAACAAAGAACCTGTTTCATAGTAGGTGCTCAATAAACAGCCGACCGCGGGGTTATGCACTATAAGGAGGGTTCATCATGGTACAAATATGCCTAAGCTTTAACTCCAAGAACCTATCTCCCCAAAGGCCTGGACTTTGAGTAGCAGCTCCATGCTTCCCGACATCATTTGTGTGCTCAGAGCAGGTGTCCAGTTTAAGAAGAACAGGACCTCTGGGGATCATCTGACCCCAAGTCTAGGTGTTCCTTTTTTCTATGTTCTTACGCTCTTTACATATAACCCCATGATTTAGGCTATCTTGGGTCCCCAGTACAGAAGAGAGCAAGGAATTTTCATTTTCTTTTCCTACCTCACCATCTACCACCATACCCAATACGTGGGGGACCATCATGTGTGTCAGCTAAAATTCATTTAGTTACTAGGTACATTCTGAGGATTTAGATGCACTATCTCTTTAATCCTCATAACAGCACCACGGGGGGGGGGGAGGTACTATTCAACATGATTTGCATAGAACAGATGAGCACTGAGGCCCAGGGAATAAAACAAAATCAAACAAGCACTGACTGAAGACTGCACGTATTTTATATTCACACACTTTATTTCATTTATTCCTTTGTACAACCCATTAACAAAGTCATGTCTCACTCCCATTTTAGGCGAGAAATCTATGGATCAAGTGAACAACAGCGCACCGCTTTAAGTCCTGGAACTAAATCCTGGTCTGTCGGGCTTCGAAGCACCTTCTCTTTTCAGCCGGCTATCTTACCCCTCGGTGGCAGTCAGGACCACGGGGACGGGGAAGGCTGGGCGCCAAGGCCACGCAGAATGAGCGCCAACCCCAACCCCAGGCCTAGGGGCTGCTATTCCCGCAACCTCCCTACTCCCACGCCTGCAACGTGCCAGGATCCACGTTGCTGCTGCTCCCAGCCAGCCACACACCAGACAGGGGCTCAGGCGTGACCTAACAAAATGGGTACGCGCGGCAAAGGGGTCCGTGGCTCACGGCTTTGCCCAGGAAGGGCGGGTGGGGTGCAGGCGTCCGCCTCCGGGCTGGCGGCCGAGGCGGGGCCGGCGAGGCGCGCGGCCTGGGCGGCACTCCGGCCACCAGCTCAGGCGCAGGCCTCCGCGCGTCCAGAGAAAAGGGGCGGCGCACAGGGCCCGCGCCCAGCCCCGGGGTCGGGGTGCCGGCCGCCCTCCCCACCCCGGGGCAGCCCCCGCTCGGGCCTGTTACCGATTCCGCTGCTCTTTGAAGAGCGCCGTGAGCGCACGGAGGGCCTCCAGGTCCTGGATGGGCGCTGGCATCATGACACCCGACAGCCGGGCGGGAGGCGGCCTGGGCGCCGCCATCTTGCTGCTCGCAGCGCTGCCGAGCCCGGCGCCGAAGAAGAGGAGAGGAGGGAGGAACGGGAGGATGGACAAGGAGAAGGCGAGGACAAGGAGGAGGAGAACGCGTCTCGCGTCGACCGGCCGCCTCCGCTGAGGCCCACGCTGCCTCGAGGCTGCACCGCGGCCAGGCCCCCGAGCGCTCTGGCGCAGCCCAGGCTCGCCTCAGGCGGGGGAGGGGACGGCGCCACGGAGGAGGGGGCGCCGGCGGAAGTCCCGCCCGAGAGGAGGGGGCGCCGAGCGGAAGTCCTGTGTGCGGGAGGCGGGGGAGACTGGCTGCGGGGAGTGAAAGGGTGTTTGAGAGGTGTCGGGGGCCGGGCGCCGAGGGAAGAGGTTGCCGAGACGCGGGACCCCGTGGGAGGGGGGCTACTATGGGTCTCCGTTTGGAGAGGGGAAACAGGGACAGAACTCAGCCTGAGAAGGGGTCCACCTACGGGAAGGGACTCGCGGCCAGAGCGTCTCAGCCCCGGGAGGACTCGCAGGCCGAGGGGTGCGGAGAGGAGGGCGGGGCCTGGAGGGGCGGGGCCAGTGGGCTGATTCAGGGCCCAGGGCTGGAGACCCCTGGAGCCTTGGACCTTGAACGTTCCGTTCACTGTATTACCGATCGTCCACTGATCGATACCAGATCGCTTCTCAGGCACTCAGCATAGAGTAACGATACGCTGCTCTAGCTCCTCAAAGACTTAAAGTACAATTCGAAGTCAAGAAGCTAAATTCTACAGCAGTAGGGCAAGAAGTGTTTTTTTCTAAGGGAAATGAATCAGACAAGCTTCTCTGGCTGATAGTAAGAACTCACATAATTTCCCTCCACCGCCCCTTACTATGTTGTACATGCCATTCAACAAAACCCGTTGCCAAGCCTTGTGCTAGGTGCAGTACATATAAAGATCAATGAGAGTCACGAGCGCCTGTGGCTCAGTGGGTAAGGCGCTGGCCCCGTATACCAAAGATGGTGGGTTCGGCCCCGGCCAAACCACAACAAAATGAGAGATGGTTCCCAAACTGAAGGAACTTAAAGACAATGGAGGGAGAGAGAGGCGAACAATTGAGCATGGTTGTTAACTCCCGCGAGAGTGGATTCTACAAATCACTTTGGTGCCACTTGAGATGTGTAATTGCATACACACCTACGTTCCTGTTGAAGAAGCAGAAGTGTTTTTTACTGTGGCGCTTTGGACATGCTTTGGTAATTAATATTTAAAGGTACAATAAGCACCTCCAGAGTAATGCAGGAGAAACGAACCTGTTGCTGGACCAGCGAATTGAAACCAATAGATTCTCACTGAAGATTACAGGGGAAGGAATTTTATTTGCTGGTGGGGAAACTCAGCAGGCCACCAGCCTTAAAGTAATGACACCCTCCCCCATCAGCTCCCTCTCTGTCCTTTTACTGGACTCACAAGGAGACAAAGGAATTACCATATTATTTCTCCTTGGAGGTGTCAAATCATGCGCAGGGTTTACAGAAGCAGAAGCGAGTAACTAGTTTCAAGAACCCAGGAAGCTAACTTTTACAGATTCTTAAGGGCTGGGTTACCAGGGGGAGGACCTTGTAGGAGTGTCCTTGGGCTTCTCTGAGAAGGCTTTGTTTTTTTTAGACTTTATTTTTCCTGGGTATCGTCCCTCAAACCCTGCACAAGCGAGTTCCTCAATGCCACTCATTTTATCCGTATCACTGATGACATGTTCCTATTCACTCATTCCGCTAATGCCAGGCATTGGATCACCTACCAAAGTGCAAGACAATTCCAAGTGTTTAACAATCCTTAGGCTAGCAAGGGAAAATATCCCAATTTCTTCCTGGATCAGGAGGTAGTAAAATGTATTTGTGGTGCCTCAAGATCTTGACCCTTAGTTTTCTCAAAACTGTAAAACAAAAGTAACTAATCTGAATCTTCCAGAAAACATTCCCTACATATTCAAATTTCTCGCCTGTAACATTACAATATACTCCTATCACAATGTTTTGTGAGAGACAATACTTTCATTGTCCCTTGGCCTCTGCTCTTGCTTCCCTACATTCTACAGCCTTTGAAAATACAAGTCAACATTTTGCTCTGCCCAGAACCCTCTAGTGGATTTCCATTTCGCTCAAGAGTAAAAGCCAAAGTTCAGCGAGGGGTGTCCAACCAGCAGCCTTCCAGCCACATGCGGATTATGTGAGGTCTGTTTTTCTTATCCACAGTGTCAGATATTGGAAAAATTATGCATGGACCTTTTGTTTGCTCATCAGCCTTAGTTAGTGTTTGTGTATTTATGTGTAACCCAAGACAACTCTTCTTTTCCCAATGTGTGACAGAGAAGATAAAAGGATAGACACCTCACATGGTCTGCCACCTCCTTCTACCTGGCTGGCATTGTGTCTCCTGGTCTCTTTCTCCCTCCTCCCTTGTGCTCCCACCACACTGGCCTCCTAGTTGTATTCTGTCCACCCAAAAGGAAAATGCTGAGGCAAAATTAACATAGAGAGTTTATTTGGGCCAAGGCTGAGAACTGCAGCCTGGGACACTGTTTCCCAATAGCCTTGGGGACTGTTCTGGAGAACAAAATAAAAATGCTTACACATTCATATGAATGATAAAGCACAAAGATAGTCCAGAAGAAAGAGGGGAGAGAGTAAAATGCAAGGGTACATTTCAAAACAACCAAGAGGGCAGCGCCTGTGGCGCAAAGGAGTAGGGCAGCGGCCCCATATGCCAGAGGTGGCAGGTTCAAACCCAGCCCGGGCCAAAAACTGCAAAAAATAATAATAAATAAAAATTAAAAAAAAAACTAAGAGTGTATGATAAATGTGTTACCACAAAAATAAGTGAGGTGATGGTTATAAGCATTCCACATTGTGTATTAAATCATCACATTGTACCCCACAAATGTATACAGTTATGATTTAATAAAAATTAAGTTTTAAAAAAAGAGAGCCTGGTTTGTTTTCTCATTTTTGTTTTTTTTGGCCAGGGCTGGGTTTGAACCCACCACCTCCAGCATATGGGGCTGGTGCCCACCCATTTGAACCACAGGCGCCGCCCTTTTGTTTTTGTTTTTTAAAAAGGATCAAGATTGGCAGGAGAATGGGTTCAGGGTGCACAATCTGAGGCAGTGGTGGCTCTTTGAGGTCCACGGTCCCAGAGTAATGTAAGGACTGTTTCTCTTCTGGGAATTGACAGGACCAAAACACAGGCAGTGCCACCAAGTGGGACAGAAGAAATCTTGAGAGAAAGCCTGTTTGCTTTGTACTCGAGGCAGGGGCTGGGCACCCCTGGCTCCTGTCAAGGGAGGATACCCGGGAGAAGGAAAGTCCTAAAAACAACAAAGGCTTCTCAGAGAAGCCCAAGGACACTCCTGCAAGGTCCTCCCCGTGGTAACCCAGCCCTTAAGAATTTGTAAAATTTACCTTCCTGGGTCCTTGAAACTAGTGCTTGCTGCTGGCTTCTGTAAACCCTGCCCATGATTTGACACCTGCAAGGAGAAATCATATGGTAATTCCTTTGTCTCCTTGTGAGTCCAGTAAAAGGACAGAGACAGAGCTGATGGGGGAGGGGGGTGTCACTACTTTAAGGTGGTGGCCTGCTGAGTTTCTCCGCCAGCAAATAAAATTCCTTCCCCTGTAATCTTTGGTGAGAGTCTATTGGTTTCAACTCACAGGTGCTGCAACACTGTGAAGATCAGACACACGGTACCATTTTCCTCTTAGGGTTCCCAGGTTTCAGCTCTAGGGAACTTGCTGAACACAGACCATCAGGTGACTTAGGCTCAGCTGCCCTCAGGAGGAGAGTGGGCACCTGAAAGTGGATACAGCTGGAGCGGGTAGTGCCCTTCAGTTACATCCACGTGGGTATCTGTGGCTGTGCCTTTCCTGCACCTCGATGTGGGCTGGGCTTCCTCGTCCTAGGACAGACCCTTCATCTCCCTGCTCCTTGCAACCTTGCTCATCACTAGATGAGTCCGAGCAGGGGAGGAACAGCTCGGGGAGCCACGCATTTGAAGATGATTTCCTGACTCCAGCCTCAGGACGTCCTGGGACTGACTTTGCCTGACCTTCTCCCAACCCTTCACACAACATCAGTCCCTTGGCCTGGCCTTTTTGCAAGTGTGTTTCTCTCTGGACTCTGTAGGTGACCTGGGAGGTTCCTCCGCCCCTGTGAACTCTGGGCCAAGAGCATCAGGGTTTGTTGATGCTCAGGAGTCCGGTCCCAGCCCCTAGCCAGCTAATCCTTCCTTCCAGCGGACATCTTCCCAGATGGCCAGATGAACACCAAGGACATTTCAGAGCAGCCGTAGGCAGGGGCTCTGGGAAGATCAGCCAAAGTGTTCTCCGCTACCCAGAGGCACCTCCAGCCGGTGTGGCGAGCCGAGGGAACAACCATGCAGAACCACGTCCCAGTCACCCAACAGTGCAGAGCCCAGAACAGAAGAGCCAAACTCCAGGAATGATGAGGGCAGGACGAAAAGACAGAAGGTGCAGGCCAAAGGCCTCTCCCCCACTCTGACTCCCAGCCCAATGACCGGGGGTGGGCAACAAGGGCAGGGCAAGGAGAACAACACTGACCTCAGGACCAAAGCAGTGGCAGCTGGGCTTGTGGGCAGCCCCATCCATGCAGGAGCCTTCAGCAAGGAGATTCTTCCCCTCATCACCCTGCTTCTTCCTTCCCACCACTGACTTCATCCCAGTGGAGACTATGGGTGTCCACCCCAGGGCTCACCACCCATTTCCTGGGGCCAGCACCCCATCTGCCAGTTGCAGTTCTCAGCAAGAGAAGTAGGACACACCTAAGGTCCTGGGGTCCCTGCCCTCTGTGACTGAGACTGGGACATGGATCTCCTGACAGCCAAGAAGGGCAGATGAGGCTGAGACAGGCTCCCTCAAGACTGGCTGGGCACATCTGTACCCAGCCTCCTTCAAGCACCCAGTTTTCAAGGCTTCAGTGACTATGGCATTCAGTTCCCCCCAGGACAGCTCTGCTCTTTCCCGCCTTGGAACCTCTAGGCCTGAGATACCATCCAGAATGCT